TCTCTCTCTCTCTCAATTCTCCCCCACCCCAAAAGCGGGGAGGGGGCGACCTTGCAAAAGGGAGGGGGCTTCTCCCGGTTGCGGGGAAGGCTTGAGGTGCGCCTTTCTCGGCCAGCCCGGGTAAATTCGGCCGTATTCTTCAGCCAATTCTTCATGTGATGCTCCAGGTACGGCCCTCCCCCCTTCCGTTCCCTGCGGCGCTGTGTGTCGAGGCCGGGACGGAATACCTCGGGCCGCCGCAGCCAAGCGCGAGGGGGAACGCCAGACGCCTCGCGCGAAGGGGGGAGGCCTGGCGACGCTGTGCTCTGCCGGGCGCTCACCGACAAACCGAGGGGGCCGAGGCGGCCAGGGAGGAACAGCCAACTGCCGGCAACCAGCCGGAACTGCTGGGGCTGGCCCGTATTGAAGAATACGGCCGAATTTACCCGGGCTGGCCGAGAAAGGCGCACCTCCAGCCTTCCCCGCAACCGGGAGAAGCCCCCTCCCTTTTGCAAGGTCGCCCCCTCCCTGCTTTTGGGGTGGGGGAGAATTGAGAGAGAGAGAGAGACACACACACACACAAAGAGGAGAGGGGAGCCGGCCGGCCCACCTGTTTCCCCCTTTCCCTGCGCCTGCCCGGGTAAATTCGGCCGTATTCTTCAGCCAATTCTTCATGTGATGCTCCAGGTACGGCCCTCCCCCCTTCCGTTCCCTGCGGCGCTGTGTGTCGAGGCCGGGACGGAATACCCCGGGCCGCCGCAGCCAAGCGCGAGGGGGAACGCCAGACACCTCGCGCGAAGGGGGGAGGCCTGGCAACGCTGCGCTCTGCCGGGCGCTCACCGACAAACCGGGGGGGCCGAGGCGGCCAGCGAGGAACAGCCAACTGCCGGCAACCAGCCGGAACTGCTGGGGCCAGCCCGTATTGAAGAATACGGCCGAATTTACCCGGGCTGGCCGAGAAAGGCGCACCTCCAGCCTTCCCCGCAACCGGGAGAAGCCCCCTCCCTTTTGCAAGGTCGCCCCCTCCCCGCTTTTGGGGTGGGGGAGAATTGAGAGAGAGAGAGAGAGAGACAAACACACACACACACAAAGAGGAGAGGGGAGCCAGCCGGCCCACCCGTTTCCCCCTTTCCCTGCGCGAGCGTGTGTGGATGGAGCAGCGGCCAAGGGTTTATAAAGCAAGCGGCGGAGTCCTGCAGCTCAGAGGCGACACGGGGGGAGGGAATCGGAGCTAACCGAGGAAGGAGGCTGCTGTTTCTGCTGCCGCCGCCGCCACCAGCCGGGGCATAATACGGTAAATAAATACGAGCGTAGGGGATCCGCGCGTGAACGAAGCCCCACTCCCCCGCCCCTTTTGCTTTCGCTCCCGAGCCGGCGCTTTTGAAAAGGGCTTGACTCCAGCCTGGGATTCGGAGCGGGAGACGCCGCCGCTGCTGCTGCCGCCCGCGCTGCTGTGGACTTACAATATCCGAGCAAAAGACTTTGCAAACGACCACCCCGCCAAGGGGGAAAGGCGCGCAGTTGGGCACCGTCTTCCTTCGGCGTCTCTTTAAACGGTGCTCGGATATTGTAAGTCCACAAAGAACTGGGGAAAAGAACCGGGCGGGCGGGCGAGAGAGGCGGGCAGAAAAAAAAGGGGGGGGAAATCCACACACGCTCGCGCAGGGAAAGGGGGAAACGGGTGGGCCGGCCGGCTCCCCTCTCCTCTTTGTGTGTGTGTTTGTCTCTCTCTCTCTCTCTCAATTCTCCCCCACCCCAAAAGCGGGGAGGGGGCGACCTTGCAAAAGGGAGGGGCCTTCTCCCGGTTGCGGGGAAGGCTGGAGGTGCGCCTTTCTCGGCCAGCCCGGGTAAATTCGGCCGTATTCTTCAGCCAATTCTTCATGTGATGCTCCAGGTACGGCCCTCCCCCTTCCGTTCCCTGCGGCGCTGCGTGTCGAGGCCGGAACGGAATACCCCGGGCCGCCGCAGCCAAGCGCGAGGGGGAACGCCAGACACCTCGCGCGAAGGGGGGAGGCCTGGCGACGTTGCGCTCTGCCGGGCACTCACCGACAAACCGGGGGGGGCGAGGCGGCCAGGGAGGAACAGCCAACTGCCGGCAACCAGCCGGAACTGCTGGGGCCGGCCCGTATTGAAGAATACGGCCGAATTTACCCAGGCTGGCCGAGAAAGGCGCACCTCCAGCCTTCCCCGCAACCGGGAGAAGCCCCCTCCCTTTTGCAAGGTCGCCCCCTCCCCGCTTTTGGGGTGGGGGAGAATTGAGACAGAGAGAGAGACAAACACACACACACACAAAGAGGAGAGGGGAGCCGGCCGGCCCACCCGTTTCCCCCTTTCCCTGCGCGAGCGTGTGTGGATTTCCCCCCCTTTTTTTTCTGCCCGCGTCTCTCACCCGCCCGCCCGGTTCCAGCTTCTCACTATCCAAGAATACCCTTCCAGCTGACGTGGGCCGTGTTATCAACTATTGCTCCTTTGTGCAAAGTGCTACAATCGCGCGGTTACCAGAGGGGTGGGGTTGCAAAGAAGCCGATTAGCCCAGGCGGAAAAATGTGTGTGCTGAAAAATGCCCCCTCGGCTTACACGCGAGTCACCATTTTTTCCCAGTTCTTTGTGGCAAAATAGGTCCCTCGGCTTATAGTCGGGTCAACCTATACTCGAGTATATACGGTAATATATTCCAACAACACTCAACTAGTTGAAACTAAATCCCGAAAAAAATTATCATGTCTGATTATTCCAATCATAGTTTATATAAATAGGAAGGGGTAAATGCATTACAGAAGAAAGTATCTAGTAGTGCTCGCTTAATGATTGTAACTATTTCAAAAATGTATTTGCTTTACAGATGGTTAACAATTTAAAATAGCTAGATCTTTGCTATTTGCTGTATCTTTACTAGTCTGTTTACTAGTCTTTTTACTGATGGAAAATGTAGGTTTAAGTTCCATTGTTAGCAATGCAGTGGTAAAGTGCAATTTCATTTGACTGCACTGCTTTGTAACAGGAATCCTGGTAGTCCCTACTGCTATCGTTAAGTGAGGATCACTGATTGTTGAACAAGGACTTCCTCATAACTTTCTGCCAGCTTCCAAGATGCAAAATCAGTGCGGAATCTGGTAGGAAATTGCAAGTTCCAGATGGCTTGCAAGCAGGCTGGTGGATAAGTATGTAGCTGCTGCTGGATGGGGCGGGGTTCGTGGATTGCCGGCAAGATATGGTATAAGCACAGAGTTGGCTGCTGCTGGGTTGGGGAGGTATGCAGGTTGCCAGAGCAGCTGAGATGGGCGGAACTTTGGGGACCAGTCATACTATTATTCAGCACCATAATAATTTCAAATACAATTTGCTGAATTAGTGATCATTAGAGTGATCAAATCTAACTGATTTTGGATTAGATGTCCAGGATAATACTTAATGCTCTGTTCTTCTTGGGACCATGCTAATCCCCCCCCCCCCCAAATGTACCAATCCAGTGGCTTCTGAAAGTAAATCCTCCAAACTGGAAGTAGTTCTGATGACCTCAACAAAGTGTTTCAAGACTATACAGACCTGATTTTAGGGCCAGACCCACCCCCAGGTTATCTTGAACTATTTGCTTTATCTTTATTCTCACTGAAATCTATACTAATCTGTTTACTGGTGGAAAATGTAGATTTAAGTCTTAGCTCATTTTGTCTGTTACAGTATTCAAAATATGGACTACATTCTGATTTGAAGAATTTTCCTTGCTAATAAAAATTCTTAAAAAGGTAGAATTGTGGGCAAAATAAGTAATTGCACCAGCAGAACCTTGTGTTTTATGCTTCACTTCTTCACAGACTCTGGCCTCTAGGATGGAAACTGATGGTCTGCCATTCTGTTATCCATGTTTTTCTGTCCCTACTATTCATAATAAAGCTAGTATTTTTAGCTCAAACTATTGAATACTGACATAGGACAGAAAGAGATAACAGCATTTCTTACCTGATATCTCAGAGCCTGAACCAGTTCTGACTGACCCATCAGTAAAGGATGCAGATTCAGAATCAGAGTCACTAGCTTCACTTCGCGTATCATAATCATTTCCCTCCTTCTGATCTCTTTCATCTTGATCATACTCTTCCTCCTCCTCATCTCCATCTTCTTCTACTTCCTCCTCTTCCTCTCCATCATCTTCTTCCTCTTCTTCCTCTTCTTCTTCCTCTTCCTCCTCCATTCCTTCCTCCTCCTCCTCCTCTTCATTTTCAGTGTTTCCTGCATCAGAGGAACCACTACTACCTGTTTCACGGTCTGAACCATATTCTTCAGAATTTACTTCTTCTTTTGAAGAATGGCTTGACCTGCTTGGTCGTCTCTCCACATCATGCCTTAGTCTCTGTTTATAGAAAACAATCAGCAATCAAGACCAATTATTTTCAGATAAAACTCTAAATGCTTGCTTTAAACACTCATTTTATATGACTGCAATGTATTGTTCATTCAGGTTAAAAAAATAAATCTCTATTTTAGCCTAGGATAGAATAAGTTAAAAATTAAAAGCCAAATACTGACACTGCTTAAAACTAAGCTAGGAAATAAAATGCTGAAACTAATAATATAAAGCAACGACCTATTGTAGAAAAGATCCTATCTATCTAAGTACAGAGAGATTAACAATCCATTACTTACTGCAGAAGCATCTGGAGTAGAGGACTTAGCTCTTCTGTCAATTTCCCTTTTCCTCATACATGCCTTTTCAGGCTGTCCCTTATATGGATCTCTGGAGGTGCTGCTTGTCATTCGTAATTTTCTATCACTTTCTGGATGCTTACTTCTGTCAGACCTTCGATAGTCCTCACTCTTGTATTCTAATACTGGCTTTCCTTTTGTGCTCACAATTCTTTTGTTATTGCTAACAGAAGAGCTTGGAGGCTTGGGTAAGATCTGCCTTGAGGAATGTACAGATGGTTTTTGTTTTTTAATTTCAGCTACTTCCATCCGTTCACTTTTCCTTTTGGATCCTTAAAAAAATAAAAGTTATTAGTTACTTAAATGCTAAAAAACGTGTTGCAAACATTTTCAAAAAACAACATTTTCTTATTTAGCATAGGTCAAAGCATAAAGAGACATTTAATCTAAATTTCTGATATCAGTAATTCTGCAACTATTAAGTTTAAGCCAGTTGATAAGAAATTCTAGGATTAAAGCTTGGGGAGCTAAGGTATTAATTTGAAAATTACTGAATAAAGATGAATAATACAGGAAATCATCTAAAATAAAATTTTGTTTCTTTTTTCCATTTTATTAACAGGTGAGCATTTCCTATATACCTGCCTTCAAAGACTTCAAATTATTAGCTATATTTGTTTACAAAGCAATAGTAATTACTTACAAGAAGTAGTATTAGTTTATGTACTATTTTGCATAAGAAGTCTGAATAACTGTTTCACTTTATCTACTATTTTGCATAAGAAGTTTGAATGTTTCACCCGTTAAAGGTATGAAGAAAGAGGACTGGAGGATTGAGATAACATACACTAAATACTATAGATCAAGCAATGTTTGAAAAGCCAGGAGTGATGGGGAGAGAAAATACTTCACAATACTACACAAATTACTTTTAGGAAATGAAGAAAAGAAAAGCATAAGGTTCAGCAAGAATAAGCAAGACTTCCTGCATATTGAGAAAAAATTTCAAGTTTGCCGAGAGGCCACTTGTAAGGCCTATAAATTTTTCAATAAGTGTCATATCTAATCCGGCTCCAAAATCCAGTTACTTAGATCTCTGGGAGATACAACCAAGTTGTAAAGTAGCATACCTTTTTTGTCATTTTTATCTTGTTCACTATCAGGGTTATACAATTCATCGTCATGATCTGGTGCATCAGTCAAGATATCATCAAGAACATTTAATTCACCATCTATGAAGAAACAACAAATGTTATTTAGAAATGATACATTTTTTAAAAAAAAAAAAAACTGAATGAAAAGGTACTGCAAGCCAAAATCCCAGAGATTTCTATTATCATTCCTTCTCTATTCCATTCAAGGTTATCTAGAATTAAAGTGGAAACTGAGTACTAAGTTCTTTCTTTAAATAAATATGTTGAATAAACAGGAGGTAATATGATATAAGAAAATAAAAGTTTGTGTCATTGTCCTTCAAGGACAGAGTGTATTTCCCTGTACTTGCTGATCTCACTGGCAATATTTAGCTGTCAGGTATGGCAATGAATAACTTCCTACTGTGCCAAGGAAAGAAATTCAACCTCCTTTTGCCACAAGGTTATATGATCTGATGAATGCTCTTAAAGAGTAATTGTGAAATAATTTTAACTATTCTAGAAAGAAATTCCTAGTCCGTTCATCATTAATATCAATTGCTTCTTTGTATTACGTATGCTTTAGGTAGTCTTTCCTTAATGACTGTCGCTTAGCAACTATTCAAAGTTATGACAAGCCCCCTTACAACCCTATTTCAAAGTTCTGACAGTTGTATACCGTACCCCATTCCACATGATCGTATTCTGGACACTCGACAACTGCCTCACTTTTATGGCCATTTGCACCATCCTGTGATCAACTGATTATGATTTTTGAATGTTTTTTGTCATTTTCCAGTGTTTACTTCTGATTTCCAACAAAAACTACACACTGGATGAAATGGATTTGTTTAATGACTGCAGCAAAAAAGGTTATAAAAACAGACAGAGCTAAGCAGAGTCAGATCTGCTTAACTGCAATGACATATGACCATAATTTCATATTCAGTTATGGTTGTAAGTCAAGACTAACTGCATATATAGTCAGGTTCGTTCATATCAGTTGATTGCTTGATTTGTCGTGGACTAATGAGGGAGGCCAACCCTGGACATGAACTGCTTGTCAGCCATTTGTCCCGTCACATATAGGTGTGGGTATATTAGAATGGCTGTAATTCCTCAATGGTGAATGCCACACTTTTGTCAAAGCCCTTGAACTACAGTTGACAGTTTTCACTTTACTCACTTGTATGTTTCATTTCAAATTCAGTGTGTGTGGAATATAGAGACCAAATGCCAAAACACGTATTATTGTCCCAATATGAATATAAAAATGGGAATAATTTTCAGCATTCTTTTTAAGCTATTTAGTTTTCATTTATGGTCAGTCTGTCATCAGGACAAAGATAAATAAGAGCATCATAGAGTAACAATTTTTGAACTAGTCTAGAGGTAATCAGTAGCACTGAAGCAGCCATAATTTCCCCAAATGTAATACCCTCGGGAATCATAATCCTGAATTTTGGACACAATGTAAGTTAGCCCATCTGAGGTACCTTAGTTCAAAAATTGTTGCTCTATGAGGCACCGTTTTACCCAGTGAAAGGTTATGACAACGGAAGTGTCATGGTTCCGACAGATGAAATTCTTCAAAGAACTTCGAGGCATTGTTTACCTTAAAGAATCTTTATTCGAGAAGCATAACATCAGCACTAACATAATTGAAGCCAAAAACTGAATTCCCCCCCTTGAGCACACAGTATCAAAGCACAATTCCCTCCTCTAATTAACAATCATAAATCACATTCCCCAATCAGTTTAAAGCGGGCTTTCCCTCCAGCTCTCCAGCCCGCCAATTGTTATCATCTATTTCAACAACCTTGATTCTCAGGGCTAGGTCCAGTATTATTATGTCTAGCTGAACTCTCATACACATCCCTCCCTCCCCAGCATCATCTAACTCTAAAAGCGAAAAGAAGAAAACAGCTACATCTCCATCTGTTGGTCAAAGCAAAAACATCCGTTGTTAGCAGCATTGACATCCGGGCCCCCCTTATAAAAAGGACAGATCCTATAACGTAAACAAAAGCACATCTCAGGGATTGCCTTTTGGTTTATTAGGGTGTTTCCTATAGAACCTGTTAATGAGTCTGTCAGCTTTCACATCGCTAGACTTCACCCAAGTGGCTTCAGACAGCGAGTATCCCTTCCATTGTACCAAGCACTGCAATTTCCCTTTAAAAATTCTAGAATCAAGAATACGCTTTACTTCATAGTGGCTCTGTCCAACTACCACGAGGGGTCCGGGTGCCTTCTTAGGGGGAGGTCTTAAAGTGGAACCCCGAAAAGGTTTCAGCAGGCTGCAATGGAAAACAGGGTGAACTTTTCCTAAGAGCTTAGGGAGTTTTAATTCCACTGTGACCGGGTTAATGATCTTTACAATGGGGAAAGGCCCCAAGAATTTCAGTCCTAATTTCTTACTGGGTAATTTGAGCCGTAAATACTTGGTCGACAGATAAACCTTTTCCCCAACTTGGAATGTTCTTAGAGGAACCCTTTTTTATCTGACTGCTTTTTATAGGTCCCGGAAGCCTTTTTTAAAGCAGTCTTTGTGGGTTTCCAAACTTCTTCCCACCCCCTCACCCATTGATCAAGTGTCTGAGATGCAGAGGGCACCTGGGGTATTTGGGTATTGGGCTGAATTCTTTTCCTATGGCTACTCTAAAAGGCATGAAGCCGGTGCGGCTGTGAACAGAGTTATTGTAAGCCACCTCTGCGAAAGGGAGGAGGTCAGTCCAGTCTGTCTATTGGTAGCTGACATAGCATCTGAGATATTGCTCCACCATTGAGTTAGCGGATTCAGCAGCCCCATTAGAAGGATGAAAAGCAGATGATGATCCAATTAATTTAAGAAAGCTTCTCCAAAACTTAGCTGTGAACTGCACCCCGTCCGAAATTATTTGTTTAGGTGCGCCATGCAGCCGGTAGATATGTTTCAAGAACAATTTAGTCAGTTGTTGGGCGGATGGGAGCCCTTTGCAGGTGATGAAGTGAGCCTGCTTTGAAAACAAATCTATCACAGTCCAGATGACTGTATTTCCTCTACTTTCAGGTAGATCTACTATAAAATCCATAGCAATTTCTTCCCATGGTTGAGAAGGGTCTGTCACCAGCTGCAATAACCCACAGGGTTTCCCTGGAATTCTTTTCATAGTGGCACATACAGCATAACTCCTGACATAATTTTCTAAGTCCCGTTTTAATCCCGGCTACCAGAATTGCCGGCGGATGAGATGTAGAGTTTTTAAATATCCAAAGTGTCCAACCTGTTTTACATCATGGCCATGTCGGAGAGCGTTAAGGTGGAGGGTTTCTGGCAAGTATAACTTTCCCCCCTTGTAAGCCAAACCATCCCTGCAAGTTAGGGAGGTTTGATTGTCCTTGAACCATTGATCAGTGAGGAGCTCGTTTTATTTTCTTTGCCCCAGGGTCATCAGGATTAGGGGCTCTGCGAGGTGTGAGTTGAGCAGCAGTTTGTGGATTGGAGATAATTGCCTCGTTAACGTCCTCACGCTGGCTTTTCTACTGGGGCAGTCTGGATAGAGCATCAGCTAGGAAGTTTTTCCCTCCCCGTATGTACTTTAGAATGAAGTTAAAACGGTTAAAGCACTGTGTTTCAGGGACAACTTGGGGAGTTTTCAGTGCTTCTAGATTTTTGTGATCAGTCCATACTTCAAAAGGCACCTTGCTCCCTTCTAGGTAGTGCCTCCAGTTTAATAGAGCCCATCAAATTGAGAAAGCCTCCTTTTCCCATATTGGCCACGTCCTCTCGCTCTCAATGAATTTTTTCGAGATGTAGGCGCAGGGTTGTAGGATCCCACTTTGGTTCTTTTGCAGTAGTACAGGTCCGATGGTCATGTCGCTGGCATCAGCTTGAATTACAAAGGGCTTCCCTGTGCTTTAAGACTGGTTCAATTGCAAATAGTCTTTTTAAGTTCTCAAAAGCGGTTTGATAGCTCATAGTCCATGTTAGTGGTTGACCCGGTTGTGGCTTCCCTCCCTCTTTTCCTGTTTTTAGTAATTCTGTAAGGGGTAGGGCAATTTCGGAAAAGAAGGGGATGAATTGATGGTAGAAGTTGGCAAATCCTAGGAAGCTCTGGAGCTGCTTGCAAGTCTTTGGAGGCTGCCATTCAATTATGGCTTTCACTTTGGTTGAGTCCATTTCAATGCCCTCGCTGGAAATTCTGTAGCCCAGATAATCTAATTGGGTCTAGTGAAACTCACACTTTGATAGTTTGACATAAAGTTTGGCATTCAACAGTTTCTGACCACTCTCACTAGTGTTACGTGGTCAGTCATATTCATGCTATATATTAGGATGTCATCAAGACACACCAGAACCCCTTTGTATAAATGGTCATGTAGAACCTGATTAATCAGCTGCATGAAGACAGCTGGGCCCCCTGTAGTCTAAACAGCATTTTTAAATTGATAGCTCTCCATGGGACAGTTGAAAGTAGTCCTTCCACTCATCTCCCTTCTTTATCCTCACCCGGTAATATGCCTCCTTCAGGTCTAACTTAATGAAGACACTCCCCTTTGCCAGATGGGTTAGTAAGTCCTTCAGGAGGGGGAATTTATTCTCCACACTCACTGCGTTTAGATCTTTATAATCCACGTAGAGATGAAGAGACCAATCTTTTTTTCTTTAAAGAACACAGGGGCTTCCACTGCAGACTTGGCCCGTTCAATGAATCTCCTTGCTAGGTTTTTGTCCACATATCACTGCATCTCCTACATTTCAAGGGGGAACATAGCGTATATTCTCGGTCATGGGAGTTTGGCTCCCAGTAACAGTTTGATGGAGCAATCATTGGGTCGGTGGGGAGGCAGGGTGTCGTATTCTTTCTCACTAAATGCCTCCGCTAGGTCCCAGTACTAGCTCGGGATGAGTGGCTAACCTGGTTGTGATGAGGCAGCCTTGTGCGCTCTCTCAGTGGGTGGGCTAAAGTTCCCTGTAACATCTGTTGAATTAAGGGGGGGCTTGGGCCCTATAAGCAACCTCACAGTTCTCATTCCCTTCTCCCACCAGATAAATGGCTTCCATTTGTCCAACCAGGCTAATCCTAGGATCATAGCCTCAGTCATTTTCGGAGTCA